CCCGTGCACGAATTTCGTGCACTGGGCCTCTAGTCTATATACATAAAAGCCTAATATACAAATTGTCCCCTCGGGAATTTGACTAGGAGATCAGGAGTTCAATCACTCACTATAATGTGCACTGACCACCAGGGGCGGTGTGGAACGAAGGAAGGCCCCAGCCAGCAGCCGGTAGCTGGGGAAGGGAGGCTCTGATCACTGGCCAGGCCTAGGGACCCTACCCATGCATGAATTTCGTGCACCGGGCCTCTACTATTATAAGCAAAGAAACTACAAACTGGTAGAGCTTTATATGTGAGCCAATTTTCTAGACATGCAAATACTGGGTTAAAGAACATGTGCATTTTGAATCTGATAAGTACTGCCAAAATGCCCTCCAAATAGGATGCATCAAACTACTCGCCCATCAGAGGGTTCTGTTTTTCCCTATACTTCAACAACACAGCACATTATCATATTTTTTCATCTTTGCTAATAAACAGATATTTAATTGCTGTCTTAATTTTCATTTCCTTAATTATGCTGGAAAGTTGAACATCTTAAGTTTATGTCATTTGTATTTCAATTTCTATAATTACTTGCTCATATCTATCACCCATTTTCCTACTGAGTTGCTATGTTTCTTATTGTAGAGAACATTTCCCAGTTTTTAACTTGTCTCTGACTTTGTTTTATAGTATAATTAATCATGCAGATATTTAAAAGTTTTAAGTAGTCAAATATATTAAGCCTTTCTTTTATCACTTTGGGGATGTGTGTTTTAGTTGGAAGGCCTTCTCCCTTCTAAGGTTATTTAAAAAAAAGTCTTATTAAAAAACAGTCTTGTTTTCTCATATGTTTATGGTTTATTTTTTGCATTTAAATCTTAGATCCATCTGAAATTTACTAAGCGTTGAGGCAGAGATTTAAGATTCAACTTTATTTTTTTTCCCAGAGAGATAAGCAGTTGTCACAAAACCATATACTAAACAAATAATTTTTTCTGTTATGATCAATTTAAATGTAATTTTGCCAGTTGCAAAGCATTTCAAAATGGAGTATATTTCTAGAAAATCTATGTTAACTAGATGCATAGTATTTAACCATATAATACATATTAGTAAATGTTATCTATTGTTAATATTAATTAAAATTACACTGAATTGAAAAATAATGGTAATACTAATTAAAATTACACTGAATTGAAAAATAGGAATTATTGAATACATCCATGATTAAAAGCAGGTATAACTTACTATATACGTTCACCTCTAGGTCTTTAAATTGTTCACTGGGTATGCAAAATCACATTTCACACTATAGAGCAATGCCATCTATAATTTCTTAGGTTTGAATTGCTTTCGGATCATAAAAGGAGAAATGTCTCATAGTTCATTATTCTAAATTCCATATTTGTCTATGATATAAATAAGAGAAAAGTAGTAAAATAATTTTTCTTGAATTTTCATTGATACGATGTACATAAAATAAATAATTGATACTATGCAGTGGTAGAACACCATTTGGAAGGTGGTTAAGTCTAGTTCTGATTGAGGAAAGGGCTTGTCAGAAAGCCACTATTCTCGAGATTTACATAAGCTAAGATACAGGAAGCCATAGGTGCATGGACAATATTCCACAGGCTGGGTCAGTAACTCAAAAGCTCCAAGTGAAACAGGGCCACAAAAACACAGACTGCCAAATGCTGTTTCAGTGCTGGACAAATGCACATTAACAGTCTTTATCCCTTCCCACTGAGTGTCCGAAGAAGCTTAAAAGTGGTGATGTATTGAACTCAATAATACATATTCCAGTTGTAGTATTTTCATTTTAACAGCTGTTAATAAATAATGCTGCTTAAAAGAAATACTGTATAGACATAAAATGAAGTCTAATTTCAAGGGGATAATATTACTAAATTCTTTATAATTGAACACATGAGGACTGAAAATTCAACTTATATGGTTTTTTCATAAATGATTCAATCTCTCTGAACTCTATTTTATTTCTTCTCTTTCCTGCTTTGTTTACATTTCTTTATGAGCTTTATTTCTTTTTCATACCACTTTCTCCACCAAAACAGAGAGTCAACTCTTTATTATTCCTGGAATTTTATGTCTGGAAAGTATATGAAGGGATGGATATAAAACCAGAGAGAATAATATGGATGGCCCCAAACAGAAGAAAAGCCAACAAATATATTAATAAGCATTTTACAAGAATGTATTGTAGAATTTAAGCTTACCCTGAAATTTGTACTTAAAAGCTGAGGATGCTTAGGAAAAAATAACTGGATGTTTGAAAAATTAAGACCATAATGATGGTCTTACACAATAATGAAAGTAATCACAACACAATAAGGAAAGTAATCTATTAAACCTCACTCAGGATAGGAAATAAGACTAGCTTTCCATAGGAACCCAAATGATTTGGCTGTTTTCCTTTTAAAATATGAAATACTTGCAGTTTATATTTTCTGGAAAGGTAACATTTTAAAAATTTGAAAATGAACAGTATTTATTTTGAAATGGAAAAATTCTTTTCCAAATGAAAGTCAACATCTTGTCCTTAAAATTCACTCCTCCCTCCTGTGTGCTTTGAGTGAAACCTTAACACATGACTTCAAATTCTTTCTCTCATATCTGTGCTATTCTTTTCATTCCCACAACTTCCCAGAGTCATTCTGAACCCTACTCTTTTTCTTACCTCCTTATCCAATCCATCAGCAAATCCTTCAAAACATAATCAGAATTTGTCCACTTCTAGCCTGACCGGTATGGCTCAGTGGTTGAGCATCAACCTGTAAATCAGGAGGCCACGGTTTGATTCCCTGTCAGCGTACACGCCTGGGTTGCAGGCTTGATCCCCAGTATCAAGAAGTGTGCAGGAGGCAGCCAATCAATGACTCTCTCTCGTCATTGATGTTTCTATCTCTCACTCCCTCTCCCTTCTTCTCTGACATCCATA